GTCCAACGCTCCGCCCGATAACACAATTCCTCCCCCTCCTGATATAATAATGTCAAGTTTCATAGACGACTTTAAGTCTCACATCAATCCTTTAATTTCCCTTCTCACTAAAGTAATTTCCTGCCTACTTGATAAAAATGCTAAATAACAATTATAACAACAACTCTGTCACTGACAACTCACTACTTATATTACTATTCAACGCAAATGGCCTAAGAAATCATGCTCATGAACTCGAAACAGTATTAAACAACAAACGAATTGACATTGCCCTCATCTCTGAGACACACTTCACTAATAATTCTTAAATATATATCCCAGGTTATAAATTGATTAATACAAATCATCCTGATAATACGGCACACGGAGGCGTGGCTATATATGTTAAGTCATCTATTACTTACCATCCTTTGCCTGGTTTTTTCCAAGACTTCTGTCAATCTTGCTCAATTCAAATTAAATTAAACTTTACTTACTTTACTATTGCGACAATTTACTCCCCTCCCAAACATAATATAACAACCGCTAGGTTTACAGAATTTTTCAACACAATTAAAAATAATTTCATAGTTGGAGGTGATTTTAATGCTAAACACCAATCGTGGGGCTGTCGCACAGGCAATCCTCGAGGCACTACGCTTCACAATTTTATAAACTTAAAAAAATACAAAGTACTTGCACCTCCTGCTCCTACGTACTGGCCATCTTCTCTCAAAAAAAAACCGGACATACTTGATATTTTCGTCACTAAATTACCCAATTCACTTTATAACAACACAACAAGTATTCTTGATTTAAATTCTGATCACTCCTCTGTACTATTAACTTTAAATACCTCTCCCCCAATTCTACAAACATCGCCTAACCTATTCAATCGTTTCACTGATCGTCTCAAATTTCATGATAATGTAAATGAAAATATTAAATTAAATATCAAACTCAAAACACCTGACGATATTGACTTAGCAGTTAAGGATTTCACTAACATTATACAGAATGCGGCGTGGTCTGCTACAAACGCAAATCCCGCCACTCCTCATATCTCCAACCCACTTCCAGAAGTGATAAGAACGTTGATAACTGAAAAGCGTAAGGCTAGAGCTTGTTATCAACGCACTCGTTTACCCTCACATAAAAAAATTTACAACCAACTGGCAAACTCTTTGAAGAAAACTCTCGTTAAACACAAAAATATAATGCTAGTTAACAATCTTACTAATCTCTCCCCAAAAGACGGCAGTCTGTGGAAAGCCACACAAAAAAATTCTCCGATATAAAGCCCCCAACCTCCCTTTAATATAACATAACGGCAATCTTACGTCATCGGACTCTGAAAAAGCTGAATTATTTAAAATATATCTTTCTGAGATATTCCTGCCTCATCCAGATATATTTGATCCTGATACAATAACACTGGTCAATAGGTCTCTCAATGTCCCTCTTCAATTCTCTCTCCCAATTAAACCCTTCTCTCCTAACGATTTAAAATATCAAATCCTAAAATACCCACAAAAAAAATCTCCAGGCTACGATCTAATCACAGCCGAAGTAGTTAAATGTCTCCCCAAAAGAGCCATTGTTCATATTACTCATATTTTCAACTCAATAATCAGATTATCTTATTTTCCTCTACTATGGAAGTTCTCGACAATTATCATGATCCATAAGCCAAATAAGCCAGCTGATACAACTTCTTCCTACAGACCAATAAGTCTTCTTCCCTTCCTTGTGAAAATTTTAGAAAAACTTATACTTAAACGTATCCTACCAATAATTTCTGACAAGAAAGTTCTACCGGACTACCAGTTTAGTTTTCGTTCTTCGCATTCGACGACCCATCAACTGCATAGGGTAGTAGATGCAATATCTTTCTCTCTGGAAAAAAAATTATTTTGTACAGCAGCTTTCTTAGACATATCACAAGCTTTTGATAGAGTCTGGCACGATGGTCTTCTGCATAAAATAAAAATATTTCTTCCTTCACCCTTCTATCTTCTAATCAAATCATATCTAACTGAACGTACCTTCCAAATACGATACGGGTCTGACACGTCAAGTATTGGCAGTATAAGTGCTGAGGTTCCACAGGGCGGCATTTTATCCCCCATTCTCTACAATATATTTGCAGCAGATCAACCAATCACACCAAATACATCAGTAGCAGATTATGCCGATGATAAAATAATTATATCTATGAATGACAACCCATGCATAGCCTCCGCAAACCTTCAAACTCACCTAGACCTTATGGAGAATTGGAATACCAAATGGAGATTTAAATTAAACCATAGCAAGTCTATACACACCACCTTTACGCTTAGACCAGCTCTTACCCCTGAGGTAACTCTATACGGTGCTCCAATTCCATCCTCTCCTTCAGTTAAATACCTTGGTCTTACATTAGATAAAAGATTAACTTGGGCCCACCATATTAGAGGAAAAAGATTTTCACTGAACAACCGCTTTCGTATCCTCAAACCTCTAGTCTCTAATAAACACACCTCCCTTCATGTCAAACTCCTCATCTTTAAAACACTACTGAAACCAATCTGGACGTACGGGATACAGCTATGGAAAAGTGCAAAAAAGAAAAATTTAAATAAAATTCAATGTTTTCAAAACATTGCGCTAAGAAAATTAATAAATGCTCCCCTATACATATCTAACCATACTCTCCATACAGACCTAAAATTAAAAACTATCCACGAGGAAGCCAAACACTTTTACAAAAGATTCCACAACCGTCTTTCCTCCCACTCAAATCCTTTAATTAAAAACCTTTCCTCCCTCTCAATCCCCGGCAGTCCTCCTAGACGATTAAAACGTGAATGGTGTAGAGACCTGTTACAAATTTTAATATAGAAAAAAAAATAAAAAAAAAAAAAAAATACTAACTTATTAAATATATATAATTCATTTACATTTTTCATATAAACTATCAACATTTAAGTGTCATCATTGGGTGGCTTCTTTATTCACTTTTTGTATTTTGTATACTCATGTTATCTATACCCTTTATCATATATGCTTATTGTGTCGTTTGATATAGATTGTATATTACGTATTAAAATAAAAAAAATAAAAAAAAATAAAAATAAGTGTGTTCAATTATTTTAAAATATTTTTCAATTCAAGATCTGTATGTTATACGAGAAGTGAAATAAAGGTAAGAATTAAAGAAATTCACTTTTAGGACTATTAAAGTTCATCTAATAGTTTATCCTTTTCTGTATTACTACATTGCATACCTTAAATAACAACGCTAATCCACCGGTAAAAAATCTATAATCTATAACCTATAATTCTAAATTCAAAAACGCCAAAAATGACTTAAAAACCCTTAATATGCCCTAAAAAAATGGAAAAAATTACCTTAAAATCAAAAATGATCAAAAAATGCAAAATAAAATTTCTTATTCTTATTTAAAAATACCTAAAATATATTTGTAACAAAACGAGCATCGTACAGAAAGCTTCAGAAAAAAATGCAAAATGCATCGAAATCCCAGGTCTAGTTATTATTATTGATTATTGTTAGTCTAGAGAGGCTAATTATGATATATATACAGTATTTTATTTTAAAATATTATATCATTTTCATTTACTTATTTATTTACACGATTCATGTTATTAGTTCTCAGTACACACACACAAGGCCGTGCCTTGGGGGGTGCGATAGGTACGTATGCACCGGGCGCCATTGACCAACGGGGCGCCAAACGCATTTTTATAATCTAAGTAATATTACTGATAATTCAACACATTAATTATGTGTTAGGCTCTCTCCTTGTTTACATATTATCATCTTTAGAAATGTTTGTACATTGTACATGTTGACAAAAATGTTTAATGTGAAAAATAAGGTAAATCTGACGAATCTGTCTCTGGCTCTCCAATAATGCTATGTAGACTTTTTGAAAGTATAAACATATTTGGTAGAGGGGGTGAAGGCGAGAGAAATGATTTTCGGCACCGGACGCTGATTATGCTAGGCACGCCACTGCACACACACATACACACAAACACACACAACACACATAAATACGATACATAATTTGCACAACACGCATCACGAAGTTACAGTATTTGCCCGGCAAACCTGACCATTGCTGTTCGAACTATTAGACCAGCTCACAACTAGCTATTTGATTATTATTTCAAATTTGTAGGTATTTTATTAAAAAAAGCCATTAAGCAATTGGGTGCATATTAATAATGTCGATTGCTCATGTGAAAACAGGATGTGGAGGATTTCATTGCAAGGTCGTCACTGTAATAGTAGTAGCAATAATAAGCGTTATAAATTATAAAAAATATATTAGAAATTCAAAACGTTTGCTGTAATAATTGATACTAATATTAATATTAGTATTCTTGCAAACTACAATGCATTGAATTTTATTTTTTCTTCATCAAACTAAAATATTTACGCTTACCGACTTTTTTTCATGAATATAAAAAAATCATGTAGATTATACACGAACAGTGGAGATCATGAATATAATATTTAATCGAATCTCTTTTCGTAAATCTTGTTATATAATAAATATTATACTTTGATTGATGGTAAATATAAATATTAAAAAGGTTTTTTTATTATTCAAATAATTTACTGTAACCTGATATAATTCGGAATGAGAGATGAGGTTAATTTTTAACAGGATCTAATTGAAAGAAAAATAACGTATTACTATAGATTTATTTATTTACCTTGATTCGAGAAAAATAATAAAATAAGAACTATACTCGAAAACTCGAAAAAATTTCTCAATTTTGAAATTTTTTTATAATTATATGTAGGTGTTTGTCTGTAATTGTGAGTAGAAAATAATGCACTATGTATAGTTAATTTATAAGTATAAACATAAGATTTATGATAGATAGTTATACTAGTTTGTCTTCAACATTCGATTAGTCGTACCATAAATACACTCGAGGATAGTTGGTCCACTATTATTCAGTAGACATCTGTAAACTATGTAGATATATAAGAGAAAGTGTTATTTGATAAATTAAAACTATATTTACATCTCAACAAAATGTCACAATTTCGAATACACATAGGTATTTCTACTGAACCACAGGTTATACTATAATAATAATAATAAATTTCTTTAATTTTATTTTCGATTGTTTAGAGTTTGTCTGTTCATGTCTTGTTGGTTCCAGTCAAATTCAGATATCGGAAGACAGTCGCTCATGGGTAGTACGCGTACGGAGACGAGAAAGTCTTGGAAACGTACGGGTAGGTGGCGTATGATGAGACGTACGGTGAGGCGATGGCGTACGGGGCGGAGACGACCGCGTAAGGAGCGGCGGTGTAAGTGGCGGTGACGTAAGGGGCTGCTGCATAAGGTGCGGCCAAGTAAGGAGATGCGGGTGCGTACGATGCCACGTAAGGAGAGGTGACCAGCGGTGCGAACAGACCACGTTTGCTCCTTTTGATGGTGGATTTAGCTGCAGTGGATTGAGTTTTAGCTTCATCGGCGACGACGGCGTTGAAGCACACGGCGACCATGGCGAGCACAGCGAGAGACAACTGATACACAAAAAAAAGACGATCAGTTTCATAAGATTACAAAACACTATAATACTGTGCAAATGAATACGGTGGCCAAATCACATGGCTTGAACTATAACATGTAAGTTAAATATTGGAGTAAAATGTTATGTAGGGGTCTAATATTATCTTGCTACACCAGGAAAATATGTTTGGGGCGCCACTGGACGCGGACGTTTTCGAAACGGTTACTTACTTGGAACTTCATGACGATTTGGTCGGTGGGTTTGGTGGAAGTGCACAAGTATCTGATGGACGAATGTGTGCGTGAGATGGCGTACGGCTGCGGAGAACTAATGCCGACCATGGGCCGGATGATCCGTTTTATACCATCCGTTTGTCCTAGAGACGCCCGAAGATTACTATTCCGCGCGCATAGTATTATCACGTTATCCAATTACGAAACGGACACCGATGCCAAAACGTTAACAAACAATAACGAGATAACGCAACTCACAGCAATATTATATGAGTATCGTGTGTGGTGCTACAACCAGTGCAACAAATGATAATATGTTAATAAATATATACGTATACGTAGGAAGGATTTCGCGCACGTGTAATATCATTTAAAACCGAAGCACAGCATTCGCCCTCGCGTTAATGTCATGCGCAATCGGCCGAGACGCAAGGTGGCGTGATATAAATAATACAATGATATAATTGTTATACGGTAGCTGATGCAGAACTGGTACAAAAGTTCACTTGACATACGACAATTTGTCTGCGGCCAAACCTCTGTATAACGACGAGCCGTTGTGGTTCTTTGAAAACAATTGGTAAAATAAAAATGTATTTCGTTAAAAAGAAATAAGATTTATTTAACAAAAAAATGAAAATTAAAATAATCGTTTTTACCGTTTGAAATGTACCTACACATGCAAACAATAATATGTGTAAAAGAAGATGGGAGACATACACACTCGTCAATGCCAAAATCGAACTGATGGACCTAGTGACTAGACATTTCGATGGTATTTATCTCTAAAGGTGTAGGGATGAAATAAAAAAGGATTTTACTTAAATTCTCCTATAATGGAGAAAAAAGGGGAACAACTGATTTTTTTATATAGGTTCATAATTAGTAAAATAAAAATATTAAGCAGGTTTCAGGACTTTTAGCATTTAAAAACACGATCATAAGTGTTAAAAACCGTTACTTTAATAAGCATAGAATATCAAAAATATATATAAACTAAAAAAGAAAATTATCTAATATTTCGAATAGACATCAATTTTTCTATTGGCACGAGCAACACAATTTTTTTTGTTGTATAAATATATTATTTATATTAACGTTCAACAAAACAATAACTTTAAATTTGTATGTTATTTAAGTCACAAACGCTATACAGCAATAATATAATAAAAAATTGTACATGCAAAACCATATTTCCCGGTCGGTAAGAATTAGTTTTCTAATATTAATATAGATACATTATAATATGTTCCCGCTTAATTGTTTACCTAAGTGATTATTACGAGTATGTGGTCTACAAATATTAAAATAATTTACGGTTAATTGTCGAATAGTAAAGTTATTTCTATAAAAAGAAATTTGGTTCGTTATGTTATAGAATCTTTTCTGAATTATAATGCAAGATTTCATGAAAAAAATTCATATTGTAAAAACGTTCGTTAAACCTAGGTCCAAATTGTATATTATCGAATTTTATTAACCATTATTATTCTATGTTTTAATTGGCCTCTGGATTTTATTGAATTATTATATAAATATTTATCCACGGCTTACACACCTTCAATGATACAATATTATTATGTAATAATAAAAAAATGTTCCACGCGCTACAGCAGAGGTTATCGTAATGATTTCGCAAAAAAAATAATAATCATACCTTGATCAATTATAAACTTGATAAAAAAGCGTTTAAATTAGTTAGACCTCCACCTAAATTCTTAATAACATTTTAAATATTTTTATAATGTATATATTGATATTCTTAAAATTGAGTGTTTTTGTTTTCATTATCTGTGTCCATTGGTTTTTTGAATAGTATTATTTACTGCATTTCCGAAGCTATAAAATAAAATAACCTTACAAAAAAATAAAAAAATATACACATAGGTGGTTTATTTAAAAAAAAAAACATTAGTCCAGGTGCGTAGTTGTGTATTGACGGAAAAAGAAACGATTTTATATTTGTAATTTGTTTACGATAAGTTGAAGTAAACTACAAATTTGTAATAACGTGATTTGTAAAAAACAAAAAATGCATCAACAAAATCAACACGTTTTTTGTCAACAATCCGTTTACGAATGGTTTCGCAAGTATGCCGTGTGCAGTAAGAGGAAAATATGCATACCGATAGGAAAATTCTAGGGCTGCAAGATTTACTGCCATCGGAGGTGTATACAGCGGATGTACACCGTTTGGGCGAAACAACCCAAAATATAGTCTGAGCGAACAAATATATACCGTTTGGGCGAATAGATATATACTGTTTGGGTGAGGATTATTTAACTAAAAACACCATTTGGATGGTATAAAAATGATTGTAATATTCAATTAATATCGTATTCTACCCACATAGTCTGCGTACAATGTTATAATTATTGTAAAATTTACTCTACCATTGTTTATACCCTCTGATAGGTTCTAACTTATAAGTTATAAGTAATTCAATGCAGAGTAATACTTCTTTTTAACGGATCTCATTTCCGGCAAAAATATGAACGGAAGTGTAAGCGTATTAAGTTGTAAGTTTTACATCGTGGTGTTGTAAATTATAAATTAGAGATATCAACAATTAATGTTAGTCAGTAGACATACATTTTTTTTTTTTTTATAAATTAATAATTTCCTTTTAAGCTTATACTTATCAATTGTTATTAATTATGAGGTGAGAAACAGATCAATAATATTACAAAAGAGTTGTGACAATTAGTCAAACCAAATATCATTTTTACTTAACTTTTTTCATATATACTATTTAATAGGTTTGTATATATATATATAACATGATATTTATGTGATGATATTATAATTGTTAATTATTCACTAATAGAACACAAATTAATGTAATATCGAATTATTTTTGACAATACATTTTTTTAAGTACCCAAATTACAACTATGTTATTAAATATTAATAAAAAATGTATAATAATAATTTTCTCTGGAACATGTAACAACAAAAAAATTAACCCTTTAAATCTACAAGTTATGTAACGTCCTTAGGTTTTTAATCGTAATAACTGAAAGCAGCAATACAGCATATAAAGATAAGCAATTGTCCACGGTGCTGAATTGAAATTATATACACAGTTCCTATAGAATACGCGTATACGCGGTCCAAATTATATTGCGCCCTTTCTATGTCATTTCATCCACTACATAAATCAACATGATTTGAATACTACGGTGTACCTATATTATCCGCATATATTTATATCATATAAGAGTAAATTAGATTTGTACCAGCACAACGCAAGAGTTATTCTTACGAAATATATGCGACAATGATGTTAATATAGTTTTTTTATTTTTATTTTTTTGCGGTTTGCCATTTATAATGTCGAAATTCCTTATAGTATGCGTGCGTGTGGTGTGTGTGTATATATAATGCACACCGCCTCTACTCACCCGTTGAACGATGGCCGGGTGCACCGGCGCGCACCGTCTCGTATTCTTACTACCCCGTTTCCCACGTGTACGCGTACGGGTCCGAAGTCATTTTTATCGAAGGGCTACTGCTGCTGCTGCTTCGCAAATGAAAAGATCCGTAAATGTAGAAAAGAAAAAAAAAAATTCTTTGCACACGGCGGCGGCGAGTAGGCGGCACTATTATAATACCTACGTCTGCAGCAGGTCGTTTTATCGAGCGATTACGGTGAAATAAAATGCTTCTTATAGTACGCGAGTACCCCCTAGTCGCAGTACAAACGTCATTTTTCAGAAATATTTCTCGACCCCTTCGCACGTATAACGTATAATAATCTAATGTGCATTATGTTCCGCGCGCATACAATACGTAGGTCTAGCGATGTTTACACGTTCGACGTCGCGCTCTGGGAAAATTTCTCGTACATCGAATAACGAACGTTTGCAGTGACTATTGTAGTATAATAAAACAAGTTAAATAAAATAAAGTTAGTCGTCATGTATAAAGTTACTACTCGTTATAGTTACATATATGTATTGTAAAAACATACGAACTTATATAATGTATTTACATCACAGATTGATGATGGTTGAGAATAATAAGTACTTAAATCATAACATTACGGATCGCGTTTTGCTTGTTGAGAAAAAAAATGAAGTATTTTTCATCATCACCTACATATAGTGTATAAAATGGGAATACCATTAACCCTAAAAATTCAGTAATCATCGGTCGTTTAACATGAACAGACGTTCATTGCATTTGTCCGCTAACATGTTTTATATTTTACTAATGAGTCTAATTAAATTATTGTAGTATATCCAAGCATGTCCCGGAATACTAATATTAATGTAGCCCCCTCCTGACTTTCTCCTATCGGATCCGGATCTATCCTCAAATTTTGTAACGTTTTATTAACTAATTGTAACGACATCAAACAATTTGTAACCATACAGTTTTCGATAAAACTCAAATTTCATTCCGGGGAGCTAACATTTTATTAACTTACTATAGCAATTGTGAAATTCTCCAAAATTGCAGTACTTTGAAGGTTCGAAACTCTTATAATTGTTAAATAACGTCTGAATTTCGTAAAAAAAAAAAAAAATATATGTAAGTAGGTACCTGTTTATGGTTTATAATTTGTAACTGGCTTACAAAACTTCTTTTACCTGACAAAATTAATATTTTCCTCAAAGAAAAAGTTTATGTTTGATACTTACACGATGTTAAATCTCCAATTTTATTAATATAAATGTATACAATTTTATTTAAAAACAGTTGCATGAAATATAAATTAAAATATTAGAAATGTATGAGAAAATCATAAATCTTTATAGAAATGTTTAAAATTAATTTTTATGATAATTAAACACAGAAACAATTTGGTTATAAATATAAACCGTAATAATTAGTAATTAAAATTTTACTAAATTTGGGAATAGGCCCTGATACAAGTGAACATAGTCCAACTTTACGTACATAAAAATTTCACTGTTGTATCATAATCCAAAAGTATAGATATATATTAGGGTGGTCCTTATTTTTAAATTTTCAAATTTTTTATCGAACACCCTGCCATTTCGTTCATTAATATATAAAAATAATTTAGGTTAAATTTAATGATGATATCTCACCCCCTTCACTTGCCGAAATAGGGTTGAAAAATGACTAATGAGGGTAGATTTTATGTTTT